AAGAGGAAGCATCATACCTTCTTTTGGAGTTGGCAGGCTGATGAACAGGTCCAGCCCAAAATGCAGCACAGTTATAGTCCTCTCTGGGATTGGGCCAGAATTTCTGACATGTGCTTGCAGTGGCAGTGTGGCTGCTTGCATCCTTCTGTTGTTCCTGGCTAATTTGTTCACTAATTCTAGGCAATCACATTGGTTCTATCCCTTGTGCAGTGGGTGCACTTTAATTTGTCTCCACATGTCAGTAATCAAACTATTGGCAGAAAGTACATACTGTCTAAATAGTTTGTCAATAAAATAAGAATATCAAAGAAGTTTCTTTGCTAGCTCTGCAGTATAGTACTTTGAAATCTTTTTGCTTAGAGTTAAAACAAGCTATGTGATACCTGTGTAGAAAATGAATAAAGATAAATATAGAAAACAGGGTGTTGGGAATACCGTTGAAATTTCTGTCTAGTAATACTTACTGAGTGGTAATCATATTTAAGTCTGTCAGAGGTTGTCTTTTATCTTTGCTTCACAGCTCAAATGGTTGTAAATTCATGTGTTTTAAAACTACATTAGTTTCAGTCAAGTTGATACTAAACAGTATTCAAACTGTTCTACTATTTATCTCCTGAAGCTTAAGACATAAGTTGTAACATCCTCTTATTTGTAATACAGAATTTAAGTATGTGCTTAACCTGATTCTCAGCAAAATAATCTGGGCTAATTGAAACGGAAGTAAGAATGTAAACTTCAGCAGACGGCCTGTAACTTAGGTCATGTACTTAGAGGAGTAAGTAATTATGTTTTTCTTGCCTTTGGTGAATTTTACTGCCTTTCTTAGAGTCCGCTCTGAACCAATTGGTATTTCATATGTTATGCAGTAAAGCTGTCCAAAGTTCATTACCTCTAATAGCTTACAGTCAACAAATTCGGCCTTCAGTACTTGCTTTAAAACGAAAAGACTGAGAATTTTTGCAAGGTTGGAATTTGTGGAAAAGTCTTTTCTGCATAGAAGTAATTTAGCATGTTCATGCTTCAGTTACCATGGGGATCTCCTAGTGTGCAATAATTCCCTGGTCTCAACCACAGTGACAGAACAGAACTATTAATAAATAGGAGGCAAACTGGAGGGAGCAAAGGTATTGCAGTACAGTAGATGTGCTGCTTGATTATCTGCAGAGTTTATTCTTAAAGATAGCTTCTGTAGTTAGTGGTCATTTACAAGGTACTGAGCTTGGCATATGTATATACAGCCAGGGAGCTGCTTTTTGTACAAAAAAGCAAATTGGTTTGAGAGATTGGATATAGTTACTGCTAGCAGGAAAAGTTTAAAATAGAAAAATTAATAAAAAACAAACCTGATTGTGGGAGATGTCTAAACTTTTCTGAAAGTTGAAGAAGGGGGGGAAATGCATGGATCCTTCTCCAACAAGGACTTCTAAAATATTTTTGTTCACAATATTAAGTAGCGACTGAAGAGAAACAGAATCAAATGCCTTAGAAAATGTGTTAGAGATGCTAGCATATTTTTTAAAATGACATAATTTCTGTAGAGAAAGTTGAAATATGAGTTACTTCAGTGTTTACAGTGAATTTTAGGAATACGCTCAGTGACCTCCTAAAGGATATAAATGGTTTAAACAGTAACTCAAAAGTTGATTACATGAAGCTTTATTATACTACCTTACTGTTTCAGATCTTAACTCTCTAAATTGACTGGTCTGAGTGAGTCATTGAACAGGATCATCTTTGTGTGAATAACTGTAAATGTGATGGAACTACTTTTATTTATTTGACATACATGGCTAGAACGAATTACAGCAAAAGATTAATAGAGGTGTTTCTCTTCAGCACTCACTTCATTTTATCCTTGTTTTGAACAAGGGAAAAAGATTAAATTTTTGTACTTGCAGGCTGTGAGCCGCCTTCAGAGTAGCCATTGGCGAGTACCGTAAACACCATTTCACAAGTCTAACTTAAAGGGTTTTTTTTAATTGCGGATATTATCTCCTCACTTAGAAGGGCTGTGTCCCTGAAGAGCCATTCTCCCATGTAACTCTTGTTTTTAATTTTAGTCTGCAATGAACCTGAGCAACCTGATGTAGTTGAAGATGTCCCTGCTTTTTTGCAGGGGGTTTGACTAGATGGCCTTTAAAAGGTCCCTTCCAACCCAAACTATTCTATGATGATATATATTTGGGAGTTAGTCTGTAAACTGGAACCACACAAGTACTGATGAAAGGTGAAGAAAGGTGCTGGTTTTACCAACAAGCTGAAATGCCATACCCTGCAGGTTATTCTCCATATGCTTTTTTGAACCCAAGCTGGTTTCTGCTATGGATCCAAAGCAGATAATGCACTCCAGACATACTATTAATCTTTACAGCTTGTTCCTTTCCAGGAAATTAAAAGCTCATGCCAGAAGTTCATCATGCCTCTTTTTAATCACTGCCTATTTAGACTTAGGATTTATAAAACATTCTTTCTTCAGTATTTCAGCAGACTTAAGTACTATGTTGCATGTACCATCATTTATTTTAAGACTTGTTACACATGTGATGTTTTCATCAGACTTTTAGTAAAAAAGTGAGTCATTCTGCTTTTGTGCCAGTGCTCTGTTTTTACTGGGTTTTTGCTGTATCAATGAAGAATCTTTACATTTCATTCACCCATTTCAATCTTGTTTGCTTTCTGTTCAAGGGGGGGAGGGGGACGTGTTTTGTTTCGTTTTTTAGAACTTATTTACCTTCTGGGTGATGATTTATAAACTAGAGATACGGCAGGAGCCTCTTGAAACATTTGCATCTGTGAATACATTTCTATGCATATGGCCAAATCAATACCATCTCTTGTTTTACTAGAAGCTATTGCCAGCTACTGTAGACTGTAGAACATACCACCATACCTAATTTTTTTTTAGTAGGGACAGTCTTATTCTAGCTTCAATAAATGTGCAACTCCTGTAAAATATGCCCTACATCCCTGATTACATTCATCTGACTTAAGTCTTCTAAATGTATATGGGGTGATCATACCCTAAATTGCTGGCAAAGTTGCCAGTACAGTCATGGTACTGTGAATTTTAACAGTAGGAAGATATCTGAAAGTGAATGATTCACATTGGACTTAAGCCTTCTAATATGACATGTTAACAGAGATTGGGCATTTGAAAGATATTTCAGCAGTGGAGTGTGTTCATAAAACTCTGAAGTTCTGTTCTTTCTCATTACAGCAATTAGAGGCTAATGCATTTGAATTTCATTTTGATTTTTCATGCCAGATACAGTATCTAAAAATCTGTACCTTTCATAAAAAAGGTAATTTCTTCCATCTGAATAACTGATGCAAAATATGAGTGGCTGACATCCTTTTTTTTAAAGATGTCCAAGACAATATTGCAAGAAAATAAGGCTGCAGTTTGTGGCCCTGGCTTTTCGCAGCAGGAAACAAAGCATTTTCAAGAACAATGCATTTGTTGCCATTTACCTTATGGACAATTACAGTCTTGTGAAGCATGCTGACAATTTCTGTACCTTCTTTGTACTCAGCTTGTTTTCTTTTTTTGTCTCCATAGCTTCTGGGCATGTTGTGTGCCTGTATAGTACTATGTAGGAGGAGTCGGGATCCTGCTTACGAACTTCTCATCACTGGCGGAACCTACGCCTAGAAGAGAATGCAAACACGCAGTTCAATCTTAGCTCACTTATGTGGAAGGTGAATGGGCCAGGTCTACTGCGATAGCTTTCTTGCCCTAAGCTTAGAAAAGCACACCTTTCACAGATGAGGACAGCTGTACTGTACACTGGTGACGGGCAATACAATTCAGCTTTACACGCCCATATAATTACCTGTGACTTTCACTGTTTTAGCCAGCTATTCATGTATCTAAATGTTTTAGTATACTAGTAAACTTTCTGATTTCAGAACAATTTTCAAGTTAAGTGTAATTTGGTTGATATGAAAGTCAAAGGATGTGTGCCTACTTTGGTAGATTACCTCTAAGCATTAACTGGCTGATTCTTGCATATAGAGAGAGGATTTCTTAAACCTTCACTACATGGAACTTTTTTGGCCAAAGCTGTACAAAGGAAGCCAGCTGTTACTTAATTTGAGAAAAAATATTTTAATCTTGCCCCTCACCAGTGTCACTTTTTAAAAAAACACTTAAGTAAAGTCCAGTACACTTTATGTATAAAAAAATGTTAAAAAAAAAAAAACCAAACAAAAAAAAAACTAACCAAAATTTTAGGATCATGTGACTGCAGTTTTGACCTTCAGAGATCAAACCTTTCAAACATTAGTGGTTTAAAATACAAGCTGGCTTTTCAGGAGTATAATGTATGCACTACTGTTCTATAATGAAATATTTCATTTTTCTATGAA